AAATGGCCGGACGAGGCGTGCAGCGTGCGTGCCGCGGGCGGTGGGCGTGCGCCGATCTTTTGACCAATAGCAAACCAGCAACAAACATAACGAATATTTTACCTTTTTTCAACGGCCAGTTACATTAATTGCTCATATTTTGACCATTACACGAAAAATACATGGAGTATGTAGGTGTACCTATAGTAACCTACTTATATAGGTCAAGATAAGGTGACTCAGCGGGTTACCTGTAGGTATGTGGATACTCTATTTAGACATTTAGACACCAATTCTTCTTACCAGATACATGTATCTTAGGGCTGTGGACAAGTGGACACTGAAGATTGCAAAACAATCAAATTGCTCACACAATACATTTTGTTGCCTTGTTTTTTATTTAGCCCAACTTCAGTGTATTTTTTCGTCATTCATAAACTACCCTGCTGTATGTGCCCTGCCCACTGCTACGTGGGGTACACTTGCCCTGCCCACAGCTACTTCAACTTATTAATCCGCTGCAGTGTGAGTCACGACATAGTGACACACTGACTGTAGACTTTCGTCTTGAAGCACTGAGATATGTTAAATGAAAAGATATGGCGTAATTTTTCGAACACTGTCTATCCAACGAAGTTGATTTCGACGATTGACCTTCTCGAAATTTTATCCCGTTAAACATGTCGGGTCAGTAGTCGTCGGAAATATGTTCCACCTCTGGGTTTTATCAGTGCCCTCTAGCCCGCCGTCAACTTAACTAATCCCATGATAGATACCTTTATCGCCTTATATACGATACGGGACGATACCTACTACGTGAAGGACTATTTTCTTTACACGGCGTGAGGGTCACGTCCCAACCGCCGAAGTAAACACTCAGGGCGATACCTAGACTCCCGGGTCACCGGGGCTCCAACTTGAAGCTGGAGTAGGAATATGGTGGATTTTAGTTAGTACCGAATAGTACCTGATAGTTCGACACTCCGTCCCGCGTCACAGGCAGTAGTTATTGGATGATATTGCGCCGTCTAAAAAAAGACGTTTAGGTGATGAAGCGACAAGCGATAGTGATCATCAAATGATGCTCTAAATATTGACCAGTTTTTTTTCTAATGCTAATTCACTAGAACTCTAGTCAAAAGAAAGTACTGCTGTCTATGCCACCGAGTGACACTTTTGACATGTGACAGATGACGTGACGTTATATTATCAATCCAATCTGTCTTATTTCATGATTGAGGAATTTTGCTGCTCGTTTTGGGCAGTAATTTAATTTTAAATAACAAATTGGATTATAATATCTCATTGATTCACAAGTTTCCATAATACCAGTGTATCAAATAAGTTATCACAGGAAACTGTGACTCTTATTGATTAGAAGAAAAGTAAACAAGTTTCAATTATTTGTGGGCCCGTAATAAAACCCCAAAAGGTCAGTGAAAAACTAGGCTACATCATTTGAATAACCATTTATCATAGAATATGAACCTTACTCTTCTACTTTACAGATGCAACTAAGATCCGACCCAAGGCGTGCTGATAGGGAACGTCGATTCAAACCGCCTCCACCGACTTCTGCTCCAGCTGAAGATCTCACCACAGATTATATGAACATCCTAGGTACTTATATACTTAAATTATTTGTTATCTTACACTAACCATGACCCACTTTTGATACTAATATACTCTTTACTGTTTCCAGGTATGGTGTTCTCTATGTGTGGTCTTATGATGCGTCTTAAATGGTGTGCATGGACTGCGGTATTCTGTTCTAGTATTAGTTTTGCTAATTCTAGAGTTTCTGATGATACTAAACAGGTGTGTAAAGTAGCAAAGTACATGTATATTTTATTAAACAATTTCCCTTCTTTAAGTTTGTAAGTAATAGTGTGTAGCAAAGATACTTATGGATGTAATCAATTTAAATAACATTGGATAGAAACTCTTGTATCAAAGGTCATCTCATTACTATTCATATTGTACTAACTTTTACATTTAACTTGCCATATATTTATTTGTACTAAATTATTTGGTATTATATATTTTTCAACTGCATCATTGGATGAGTTGTGACAAGTGCCACTGCCAGACAAGGGGTCTCGGGTTGGATTCCCGGGTCAGAC